GGGGGGGGGGGGGGGGGGGGGGGGGGGGGTTCCTCCTCGCGTCCAGCTGCCTTAAGTCCCCTAAGATTTACTTTCCTCATCCGGAACGTGGCCGTGTTTACGGTGGTAGCTCCTACCTCACAGGGCTGTGGTGAACATTAAGAATCAAAGAGATTGGCACAAGATCCGTACAAATGTTAACTTTGTCTAAATTTTCACTTAAAAAATTGGGAGGCACAGGTTCTTTGAAGTCTTGGTCCTATGCAAAAACTTATTGCAGAGGCTGCGAGGGGTTAGGAGTCGGTCTAACTTGCGGAGAGAGGGGGAGTGGGCGCCCCGACGGCCGCCCTTCCGCAGGGCAGATTCCCCACGTGGCCGGCGGCGGCGTCCCCGCCGTTTCTTCGCTCCTCCAGGAGGCGGCAGTCCTGCCCAGGCTACAGCGGGAGAGCGTTCGGTACAGTGAGTTAAACGCAGAAAGAGCCTTATGTTTTATTTATTTATTTAGAGTTACAGGCAACCAGGTGGGACGCGGACGTGATTAGTGGATTCAGATTAGTGATCCCGCTGCCGCAGCGCGCCGGGTGCTCACCGTGCTCCGGTCACCGGGGACGGGCGTCTCGCTGGCAGCTGGCTGGCGGGGGATCCCGCCTCAAAGCCACATTTTAGACTCATTTCCAGGACCACTTTCAGTGCCGGCTGGCTGACCTCGAGTTCCCCGGGAAGCGGACTCGAGTCAGAGATCTGTGTGCAGAAGGATTATTAGGGTTTGCTCTTCAGAACAGTATCTGTAATGTCCTGGTGGAAGCAGGGTGGGCAGAAGGAGAAGTTGAACAGGTTCCCAGAGGCCTCGGACAATCCCCCAGCGCGCTCTGGAGCTGGCATTTCCTCTCAGAGGCATCCTGAATTGAAACAAGGGGGCAGGCCTTTGTGCCCTGTTATTGCCCAGTCATTAAATGCGGGTGCCCCTGGAGAGGAGGCACAACCTCGGGCAGGGCTTTGGCAGAGGGCGAGTTGCAGGAGAAGAAGTCATCTGCGAACCATCAGCAGCCGATATATTCACCAACTGGGCGACTCAGTGCCTTGGTCCTGAACTGGGCATCTGGGTCCTGAGCCGGGCATCTGGAGTGCCCCAACCATTCCTTACAGGACCTTTCCATTGCTTCACATTATAGAGTCGTTTAACAAAATGAAACACAATTTTACAAATTAGTTTCTTTGCATGTGAAATTATCAGGGAAGTGAGTTTCTCCTTGCCAAACCGTAACTTCGATAGGATTTTTATATACTTACTCAACAGTCTGTGACACATAATCCCAGATGCTGAAGAAAACAAGCAGGCTGTGCTATAACGTTTATGTTGCTATTCAAAATATCTTCAACTTTGCAGTTGTAACCTGTTGACCTGCAGCCTTATTTCACGCCACTTAAATCAGGGACATCTTCCAGTACGTGTAAGCAGGAAATTCTCCCTCGCACGGAGTATATGGTGCTTTCTTTTTTAGTACCTAAACTTGAATATTTTAAAGGACTATCTTTCATTTTTGAGGTTTCTGGTTAGTATGACAGGTAACTATCTGCAGCTTTTAAAGGTATGTTAGTAATTTTACACCAGGGAGCAGGACTTCCTGCTGTGGTTTACCCACATTCCAGGAAAGCACACCTCCCCGAGGCAAGGGTGTACCTGTGGGAGCATTACTTGATTGCAGGTGCTGAATGGAGGAGGACTTTTGTGGTTGATGAAATACAAAGTTACTGAGAGGAGAATCTACTATAAGGTTCTTTAAGAAACAGATTTGAGTTCTGCTTGACTGCTTCTTAAGTCTCGTGTTTCATAAACAGCAAAGTCAGGTACAGAAGGCAGTTTCAGGACAGGTGTTACGGGAGACTTGACAGCAACTCAATGACAGCAGCAGTTCTTCCCCTTTAATAGTTTGTCTTGGTGTAGCAGGAAAAGTGGGCTTTGTCCAAATGATAGCAAAAGAAGGTCCTTTAAACCTTTGGAATTAGATACATGTCTAAAATTTTATGAGACTGGACCCATAGCTTGAGGGTGGGGTAGAAAAGGTGCACAAGGTGATTCTTGCTGGGGTTTTTTTGCTTAAAGTGAATGAACAGTGTTAAGTATTTTAGAAAATATGGCTTATCTCAACCGTGGTAACTTGAGGGTTAGGTGACCTTGAATTAGGGGCACATCTGTTTCACGATTACCCTTTCCTGCAACAAAATATCACATAAACATTTACTTTGAAAGGATTCCTATTTTACATAGTTTAGTTTTCAAATTGCTATTATATTTATAAATGATTATAATAGCATTCAAAAAGGCACAAAAAGAGTGAAGAAGAATAGTATTTTAACTGTTCTCTCAAAGGTTATAAAACCAACAGTTTAAAGTTAGGCAGTCCTACTTAATTCTGAACAAAGTGTTTCTGTATCTGTACAGGTACATATTACTTAATTCTGTATCTGTAGCAGGTACATACTCAGATTACGGCAGAGACCTGGCTGGGCTGAAATACGAGCTATCTGAGGGTCACATGAAATGACAGTAGACGGGAGTCTGGGGGGTTCTGTCACTATAATCATGACAAAATATTATTTCTACCTGTGTTTTTTTTTTTTGGCCCCTCTTGGAGACTGGAGGTATAAGTTTCTTCTGGATGTAAAAGGGAGAGGATGGGAACAAGGAATCCAAATTGCAAGTCACTTCAGGGATTTGGTGTTGGCCTTGGTCTCAAATGAAGTATTTCCATGATACTCCTATTTCCCACTACTTGGGAAAATAATAATTTCTAAAGGCTGGTTTCAAACCTTTGTTGTCTTTGGGTAACGACTGATCCGTTTGCCTCAGTCTCATCCTCTCGCACGGCTTCACTGTTGCTGATATTCTTGAAATCCACACCATAAATCCTGAAGAATCCCCCCGCCCTGCCCATCCTTGCCTACAGGCCACTTGCTCCCCTTTCACTCCAAGCAAATCCTTCCGAGAAGGTTCAAAGATGCTTTGACCATCCAGCCTCACTGTGCCTCCAAAATCTATTAACATGTGAAATCAATACGGCTCACTTTCCTCACAAGAAGGGAAAGGCCGTTAAATTTTTCATTGAAAGTATAAATTTATGGAAGCCAAGTGCCCTGAAACCTCGTCTACATCCTCTCATCGGGGTGGCTCTGATGCTTTTTGAGCTGCTGGTCATGTTAGCATCTGAGCACTTTTTAGAAAAGATTATCTTCTGTAAGATGATATTAGACCAAAACACCAGAAAACCTGTTACTAAATGTGCAGTTTCTTTCTATGTTCAGAGAAGGATCCGTACAACTGTTCTTTCTTTTAAGCTGCTTTTGTAGTCAGTGGAATAACCAACCCGTAGGACCGACAGTTGCCTTGACTATATGCACCGGGTCCCATAGCCATACGCCTGGGTAATATTTACCCTGTAGGCTGGTAGTAAATTCCGTGTGTCAGTGCCTGGAGGAAGCTGTCAGGAACTTGCAGGTGAGGGTGGGGCTGTGGAGAGGATGACAGGTGAAGGACGCCCCTTGTGGAAGGGTGGTGTTGAAGGTGCAAGATTAAAGGGATCCTGGGCCACAGCATTCAAACCGTCACCTGCAGCTGTGTCTTCCTTCACAAATGCTGCACTGGGTTGCTTCCCTCAAGTAACTCGTTCCCAGTTCCCTCCATTTCTGCTGAGTTTGGTGATGGGTTGTACAGTCCATTTTGTTTCGTCAGCCCTTCGCCAGAAACATGCTTCAGGAGCTGCCTGTTTGCCATGTGGTGAGAAAAGCAGGCTTGTCTCCTAGAAACACAATCTTAATCTTAAAGACGCCGATTGTGGTTGTATGTTGAAAAGCTTAGTTCAAAAAGAGAGTGATTTCAGACAAGATAATTTTGGAACTTTGCTGTTTCTCAAGTGAGCTCAGCAGCTTTCTGGTGTCTCTGACGCATGCCCGAGCGCTTTGCCAGCTCATCGCTGTCCGTCCATCAGGGCAGCTGAGTTCGTATCCCCACGGGAGGAGAGCAACAAGCCGTCTGTGTTCTGTAGAGCATTTCCACTTTGACCCAATCGATTTTTGTCTTCTTTTCAGTGTCTCCAGTATAGGCTTTATGTGGTTCTGTTGTAGACACTGTATGGCCAGTTTTCTGCCAAGTAACAATTCTGGAAACATCTCCCTAACCACTCTTCTGTAACATGATAATGGGTATAAACACCTTGCATTTACTTGCCCCAAACAGAAAAGTCAAACATGACCTCCTTCATCGTCACAGCCACCAAATGTGGCTCTGAGTTGTGGTGCAAATGGCACTGGGCTAGGTGTCATAGACCCGGTCAGCGTCTCAGCACCTCCTCTATGAGCTGCCCTTTTTAGATGAGTCACAACACTCTAGGCCTCACTGTTGCCATTTTACCGATAAAGGGGCTAGATTAGCTTATCTCCAAAATCCCACATGGCGTTGACATCCTGAGATGCCTCGGCATCCAGTCACTAGGCAAAGGTCACATTTATTGTTTCTTTATCTTCACTATTTAAGTGCCGCCCTAGAGAGGAGGTTGAACATGTGTTCACCTGTCCCCTCCTCTATTGATTTGCTTAAGTAGTGGAAGTCAGCTTAAGTCAATGTCTACATGGCTAACAACAATTGAAAACAAATATTTAGCAAGGGATGCCTAACCAATGAGAAACATGGGTCATGTTTGCAAAAATGTTCAACCAAGGCCCAAGCAGCTGTGCTCAGACCCAAGCAGTTTTGGTCCCTGGTGATTTCATTCATTCACAGCTGCCCGTGGCTGGGAGGCCAAACCGGAGAGGAGG